AATACTATAATACCAATAAAATATACCTGGTTCAGTTCCAGAGACCTCTTGCACCACCATTGACTTCCTTTTTTTCCACAACTGCAATGCTCCATTTCTAGATTGCTTCTCCAACATAGTATTCATGGGCGCTGGTGTCATGGCTTCCAATTCCTCTACKGCTGCAGGCAACTTTTTCTCTTGTTTGGTCTCAATAAATGTTGTGTAAATGTCTTCAATATAATCTGTTAACAAAACAAAGATAAGAAATACATGTAAGTTAAGGTCAAATATTTTAGAGCTAGTAGGTATACCGTTTTTATACCATGATTTGGCTTTACTCTAACACTCCGAACAGTTGCTTCGCCGTTTTTGAATTTGGGATAAACTATCCTAACTTGTTCTGTCCCATCTTCGCTGTGTCGGACATCACGTTGAAGGTTGTAATTAAAAAGGACAGCTGCAATTATGTGCCTGGAAAAAACAATTTCAAGATTTAAAAAAATAACTTTAATGTACTTTGTATTGACTGCTTTTACAAGTGGTAGGCTCTAAAGTGTGACCACTGTTGTATTAGCATGGTTTTATTGTTCTTCTGATGTTGATTTAATATTCACCCAGATGAAAGCATGCAAATACACTGTCACCAGTCACACTTTTGTGCCTTACATTATAATTGCGAGCTTGACTTTATTTGCACTATGCATTGTACAGACATATTTATATTCATTATGTCCATGATCATTAACTCCAAGTGCACACAAAGTACCCAGAGTACCTTACTTAGAAATGTATAATTCATTGATGATTTACCTGCAGTACATCCCTTGATAAGAGTAGGCTGTCATTTTTGGTGCATACTGGTTTACAACAGAGTGAAAACCCTCTAAACAACTTGTCTGGGCCAATGGTGATGCCTTCTTGATGCCCTTCATCAATGAGGGTTTCGTTAAGACAGAACACACTTTGTCGTAAACTGGTGTATCTACAGAAAAAGACATTGCATCAGCAAAAATAAGATTAAAAGATTGAGGTCCTTTTGAAATTCATTCAAAGACCTATGAAAATGGAGTAGTGGCATGATATGGGCAAAAGTTTTATTGGGTTAAAGGGAGAAAGCATTCTCTTTGAACTCACCATGAATAACCCTGGTTTTGCTTTAATTAGCAATGACATACATACCTTCTTCAAGCCATCTTCTATCCCCTATTAGCTCCTCATGTGCACACTCATTAAATTTGTCATTTTCTAGGTCAGAATGCTTGTTGATGATATAGGACAAAAATGAAACAAATTTGGCCCATATCAATTCCCCATCTCCAGATGGTGTGGAAGTGGCACTCCACAGCAGGTGATTTTCGCAAGGCTTGATCCAGTCGGACAGACATTCCCCATCTTTCTCCTTGCTGATCTTAGTTAGGACTTTGTGTACCTCTAAAGAAAATAAAAATAGCAATAAGTTCTATGATATTTGGAACAAGATAAAATTGCATAATAGATGCATAATAACTGTAAATCCTTTCCCATAACTTTGTTTTGAACTCTGCTTTGACATGCTGGCAAACATTAAGCAATATTCCTTTTAATATGATTCCAAACACTCAACTCTTTTGCAGATGCCACAGATCAAAGTAGTGTTTGATGTTCTTAAAATTTTCCCTCATGAATTTTGCAATGGACGTATGGCGATCTGTGATAAGGGAGTCGAAAGCAAGTCCAGATGCCACAAGGCTTTCCATGCATTTTCTAAATGCAAGGGGCTCCATTGCTTGGCTGTTA